TAGGTTTTAGAGATTAGGAACAAATCACCCATTTTGTATAAGATCAATGTCTTTTTTTACACGTTTTTTTTTTTACACGGATTCTTCTGGAACCAATCTCCGTGTAAAAACAGACTTAGGTGTATATATATATATATATATATATATATATATATATATATATATATATATGAATTAAGTTTTTCTTAATTTTGAATTTAAAGCAGTCAAATGATTTTGAAAATCTTTACTCCAACACAATATTGTTTGTCGTCTTTAGTGAAACTATAATTTCAATAGAAATTCATAAAAAGATATTACTTATAACTTATGTTCTGAAAGGAGTTTACAATTATTGACCTAGTTTGTGTTACATGCTACATTTTATGTTTGTATCAATAATATTTCTTATTAATTATGTATTTAACGCTTGTTTTTCATATTAAATGAAATTAATAAATGAAAATTAATTTGAAGGTGCCTTGAGAACTTGTCACTTTGTTATTCAATATCATTTATAAAGCAATCTGTATATATTTTAGTGGAATATTTACTGACTCGTGCATTATTAATATAATTATATACATATATCTGCTGAAAATATTGTTTATATCATAATATTCGAGTCAATATCATTTTTTACATAGTATACTTTATACAATCTTTTTTTTGTTCAATGAATATAATTATGCAAATAAAAGATTTTAAATTAATTTGGCAGATATATGTGTAAAAGACTTAAGTTCTTATTTAATTTGTTATGGGGAATACATGTTGATTCAGTCTTTTTTTATTTATTTATACAAGTGCCTTTATATATGTTCTAAATCAATATTAAACAATAAAATTTGTACTTCTCGTATGTATCAATTACATTGAAAGTAATTTATTATATTACAATTCCATAAATAGTCAATCACAAATTTTTTGTTCTATGAATAGCAGATTTTGTGTGGAATTCAGAATTATGATTCATATTAAATTTTTGTTACCAAATTATTAGTTAACCAATACAGCTTTTTGAATGCATTGATTACTTGTTCGTTGAAGTGGCCCTAGCACCCCTCCTTATGTAACCCTTAAATTGATGGTATTTTGTTACAAATTACAAATTACAAATTCACTTTGTTACAAAAATTTCTTTCTTATAACACCTCTTGTTCATTATTCTACGGAAACAATTTTTAAAATTACATTTCTAGTATCAAGAATCATGTGTCTTCCCTGTAGCGACATTGTCTGCATGTACATTCTTATTTATGGAAAATACGATTGTTGGTTTTGATCAAAATATTTCAAATACTCAATACAATTTACCAAATTGTTAATTAAATGCAGCTTTTAAAAGTCTTTTATTGTAGTTTTATTTTAAATTTATTCAATTATATTGCTGCATAGCTAAATGATAGATTTTTATTCTTTTATTACTGAAAACAATTTTGATCAAGACTTGCAATCGAAGTTTTAAATAGTTGACTTGAATGATTAGACAAAACATAATTTTGTTTACGAGTTTATTATTCGATTCAAGTTGTAAAAATTATTTAACTCAATTTTTAAAGGATAACAATCAGCTTTAAACAGTTTTGAAGTTTTTAATGTTCAAATTTTTGAACTTTTTTTATTATTTCATTTTACAAGTTTTATTGAATTTCTCTTAAGGCTTTATTGAATTTCTCTTAAGGCTTAAGGCTCTCTTAAGGCTTATTGAATTTCTCTTAAGGCTCCAATAATTTGTATATTATTCAAGTCAACCATATTTGTTTTTGTCTCGATTAATTGTAAAGGTTTCACATGTTTTATCAAGTCATATAAACAATTTTGATTCGATTAATATCACTTCATTTTATCGATTAATTAAATAATTCTTTCAACGAATTTTTTTTTTCTAAGTCCTTTCAGATAATTTTTTTTTCTAAGTCCAAATTTTGTGAAACCTTTTCGATTAAGACAAACGAGTTATTTATGCATGCTATATTATCCCAAAGCCAACATTCGAATGAATGAGACCCACATTGAAAATTTCATAACGAGAAAATTTTATTGGGGCAAAGTTAAAAATTTTAACTAAGTCCCAGTAATTTTTTCTCGTTGTGAAAATTTCAACGTGGACTTCATTTCATTCGAGTGTTGGCTTTGGGAATTGGTGTGAGGGAACACTAAAAAACATAAAAAAGTTTCAACGTTGAACAGAAAAGAGAAATTTTTATCTGGGACTTAGGGGGTTTTTTTAGGCTTCCCACCTCTTCCTTCTCCCTCTTCCTCCTTCTTTTTCCCCTTTTTTCGCTTTTTTTTCATATTTTTTTCCTTTTTTGGTGTTGTTCTTTCACATGTTGTGGTATTTTTTGAAGATCTTTGGGTTCGGCATGCATCGTCCGCAATGTGTCTCTCTGTGTGTAACCTCTCGCATCATGAACCTCAGGTTGACCATCACTTCGCGTGTATGTTTCAGGACCTTCGCGCGTCTGCCAACAGCCAGCCACCAGCACTGCTCCATTTTTTCTGCTTCAGAGTTGGTCGTCGTCGTCTCCAGCTGGATTCGATCCATCTCACTTTGTGCCTCCAGAGTGATGTCACCGAGTATGCGGTCACCTTAACCACTCGGCTATTTGATATATTGATTATAATAGTTATTTTTATATTCTTATCATGTATTAATATTGAATTTTAATAAAGTATATATATCATACACATCTCTCTTATTCATCACCTGCCTCTACCCTTCTCTTTTCCCCATTCTTCCTCTACCTTCGTCATCTCTCTCTTTATATATCTCTCTTACAGTCAAGTGCGAACCTTGAGTTTTTCAGAAATATTCTAAGTGTCAAGGTCGAAATGCGCCACCTGAATTTATTATTTTGAACTATTATTTGACAATTATGAAAAACTAGATATTCGATTTTTCAAACCTATTTGAGGATTTGAACCAACGAACATTGAGCAACGTAGTGGTAACTTAACGATCTCGGCCAATTTGTTACACAGAACCTCTCCCATACTGTATTAATATTGGATTAATATTGGATTTGAATAAAGCATATATATCCTACACAGAACCTCTACCCTTCTCTTTCCCGCGTTCTTCCTCAACCTTCGTCATCTCTTTATATATCTCTCTCGGATTTGAACCGAGAAACAACGACCAACCGTAGTGGTAACTTAACGACCTCGGCCAACTGGTTATGCAGAACCCTTTGCTATTTGCCAAAATATAAAGTGTTATTTTTAAATGAAAGATATAAGTTTCCTAAAAATATGTGGTTTCGAGCGAGCAAATAGCCGAGGTCGTAAACATGCGGTTTAGGCCAGCGATAGCAATATATATGCATATATATATGTGTATATATATATATATATATATATATATATATATATATATAAGAAATAGTAGGAGAATAATTTTTAATAAATTCGTATTTACGCCTGGTTAGCAGTAAACCAAACCTACTTTGGTGTAATTTAAAAAAATTACAACTTTTACTATTTTTCCCATACAAAACCGGTTTTTCAGGGGCAGCCAAAATTGGCCAAAATCATGACTTTCAAAAGCAATTTTAAGACCCTTAATGAATGAAATTGATAATTTTAATGAATGAATTGTGTAGACTAAGGTACAATCTTTATACCAAACCAAAAAAATTACAAATTTATCATCAGCTTCATAGTTTAAATCAGCTTCAAAGTTGTCAATTTTTCAAACTTCAAGTTGGTCGTAGGGGTGGAAGGATTTTTTTTTCCAAAAACCGATTTCAAATTCGGAATCAGCGCCTCGAAAACTATCAGAATCGGTCAAAACATTTTGATAATTGCGAAAAACAATTTCATTTCATTAGTAAAATTTTGATTTTGCAACCAAAGATTTCGATTTTTCGGAGGATGTATGTGGATTTATCTAAAAATGGATTACATTTTCGAATTCAGCGATTCAAAATCTATCAAATGCAATCAAAACATTTTGAAAATCGCAAAAAAAACTTTTTTAAAAAAAATCGATTTTGCAACAAAAGATTTTCATTTTTCGCGGAGTTTATGTGGATTTATTCAAAAACGAATATCATTTTTAAAATCAGCGTCCCAAAAATCTTTTGGAATCAGTCAAAACATTACGAAAATTGTAAAAACAAATCCATTTTTTTGCTAAAATTACGATGTTACAACCAAAGACTTCGTTGTTTTGCAGTGGTACACGCCCTGAAAGCTCATCAAACAGGATAATTTCGTCCTTTTCATCAAAAAGACTTTGTCCAATTAGTTGTTGATTATATTTTTCTATCCACGGATTTTTTAACAAAGTTATTGCCGTTTTATTTTTATGAAATATTCAAAAATATTTATACATATAGAGTTTTTCCAAAAAAAAAATTTTCCCCAAAATTTTTTTCCAAAAATTTTTTCCCCAAAGTTTTTTCACAAAAAATCATAGTCCATGGTTTTCCCCAAAATTTTTTTTCCAAATCATTAATTATTATGAAATAGATTATAGTAATTTTAATCGTACAATTTTATGGATTTTTTTAAACAATCAAATGGTTCAAAAGAAAGTGTTTTTTGTAAATAATTGAAAATAACTTTTTTTTAAAATGGTGATGGTTAAAAATTATGAAAATAAAAAAAAAAATACCAATTTACGAATTTAATAATAAAAAAAAAAAACTTACTGTTAAAGTTTCGCATAAAATCTAAGAAAATAGAAATAATACCATCCCATCAAGCTGGCCAGGAACGAGATGACACTGACCACGATGTGTTACGACAAAAAAAGTTTTTAAACTGAATGTTGGGTAAAAAATTATATGTTATCAACCGCTTAAGATGCTTTAGATACATATATCCTGTTCTCTGCCCTCTAGCACAGGACCATATCAAACAATCCAATCGCATCCTACCACCAGTCATTACATTCAAAATAAAAACAAGATACTATAATATATATATACTTTAATATTTCATTTAAGTAATAAAAATATAAATTAGTGGAACTAACAATCTATTTTAAATATATATTTCGAATAAGAATAATATTATTGTATCTTTGTTTTCTTACTTGGGGGTGGTGAAGATGATGAAGATGATGAAATATCATTATCAATATTAGAAGTACTTTCATCACAAATAGGCATGATGATTGGATTTTCAATAAATATTTGGTTTTTCATTATTACTTCAACTAGATTAGAGTCTTCACGGGTGTATTGAAAATTTAATCTGAAAAGGATAAAATTAATTACAATATCAATTTTAATACATGTTAATTGTGTCTTTATATAATAAAGTAATTATACACATTTTAGGATTGATTTATATTTCTTCATATCTAACATAGATTATATGACTACATTTAAATCAAAACATATAATGAATAGATATAGAGTACTATCTTAATTTCAACTATGGTAATACAATGATATCAAAATCAAGCCTCTTTTACTAAGGACTAAAGATTTTAGCTTTAAAGATCTTAGAATAAAAGATTTTAGCTAATACTTACAATTTACGATTATTTGAAGGAGGATGCTCATTTGAATTTGGTTGAGTATTGTTATGTTGTTTATCACCATAAAGCCAGTGCAATCCTCCACTTTGTAGATTCCTACCAAGCGATTACATAGTCTAAACATTGATTCACGTAATGATATTACTATGAACTGTGTATGATCCGAAAGGTGCTGTAAGTATTACATTTTATAAAAAAATGATTCATCGATATTTGATAACACATAAAACAAATATAATTAAAAAAGATTAAATTACCTTGAAAATTTCTTTGATTTATTTACTCATTTAAGAAACGATTACATTAAAAACAACAACACAACATAAAGTTGCTTGAAACTTTTAACACTGTAATTTTAAAAAATCTGAATCTCAATTGCTTGGAGCAGAAGTATAACTTTCTGTAGTGATTCTATCTCAGTTTAGAAACATCATAATATATTAACCAATTTCATTCTTTTATTTATATTTTTTTACTGTTTTTATTATTAATTATAATTTTTATTATCCATTTAATGATATTTTTATTATTATGTGTTTATATTATTTATATTATAAATTATATTCTATGATAATAATAATAAATATAATCATTATTATTTTCAATATTATTGTAGTATTAACTTCCCCGAAGGAGAAGTTTATATTTTCATCAAAAAATCCGATTCGCTAATTTTATGTTTTCTCGACGTTTCAAGCCATTCTGAATCGAATGAGACCAAATTTAGAAAAAGCATGTATGTATGTGTGTGTGTGTGCGTGTGTGTGACCAGATTTTTTGCCGTAAATGGACGTTTTCTCAAAAACGGCTGGACCGTTTTCAAAAATTCAAAAGCCATTTGATGTATCTCAATGAGGACTATAGTTTGTCAGTTTTGTGCGACGATATGCCGAGCCGTTTCTATGAAAAGTGTTAAATGTTGATCGATGTTCGAAAGATATTAGTTAGGAATAATACTGATTAGTTTTAGGTGAAAATCTACCGAGCCGCTTTCTTATAATTAACTGTTGAAAAAAAATTTAAGCCGATTTTTATGGAACTTTGTTTGGCGATATATATATCATGGTCTTATAGAACTTACTGAAATATTAAGCCGATTTTTATGGAACTTTGTTTGGCGATATATATATCATGGTCTTATAGAACTTACTGAAATAAGTTACTTACTTACCTTACGACAAGTCGTTTAATTTTAAAAATTCATCAAAGTTTGAGAAAATGAGTAGTTTTTTTGACGTTTGCTAAAATTAAAATTAGACGATTTACTTACTTGGTATAACGCTAGGGTACATGGTCTCAATGCACATACTAAACCATCAAAGTCCTACGAAATCTGGTTCAATTATAAAAATTATTGATTTGTGAAAATTTGCTTTTAGAGAATACTCCGAGTTAACATGTTCGTTCGTTTTCAATTATGTGTAATAAATCCACTCGGAATACTTTAAATTACTCATGAATTAATTAATATTTTATAGATTGATTTATTGTTTATTTACACATATTGGGAAGTTCATGTATCTTGCCTCAAGGCAAAATACTAACACAAACTAGTTTTATTTTTGTTTACCACTTTTCTTTTTCTTTTTCATTACATAATTTTGGGTTCATGCTACATCATATAATAAGAATACATCTGCGCCTAAATAAATGTGCCTTATTAAAAAGTAGGTGTAGTATGAGAGGGTAATATTTTTATGTTCAAGTTGCAAATAAACATTTATAGTTCAGCCAAGTCACATTAATAAATTAATGATAAACAATTAATAATGTAAAATTGTATTGTTAAATTCACTTCTTACTTGTATTAAATTGCCCACAATAGTCACATTTCGAGTATCTAAAGCCGCATCTATTTCGTCCATAAGATACATCGGTGATGGCCGAAAATGGTGAATAGCGAATACAAAAGCTAACGAAGAAAGAGTCTTCTCTCCGCCTGAAAGCTGCATTATACTCCGCCATGATTTCTTAGGGGGGCGAATACTGCAGGAAAAATATATTTATTATTCACGTTTATCAAAATTTTGGAATTTTTTGTTCGGTAAGTTAAAATGACCTAAGCAGCGGTAGTAGATAAAAAAACCGTTATGCATATCCATTTTAATTTTAAAGTATTTAAATGTTAAAAAAAACTAATTTTTGAAAACGAGTTAACCCCTTAACTTACGATTTAGATTCGAAAATATCGGCCCAAAGTTGTTGAAGCAGACCCGGCGTTTGTGACTATTTTCCCTCATAGTGTACGGTTTATCACAAAAATAAAAATAATTTTGTGTTTTATAGTTTCGTATGAATAAATATTTTGTAATAGTTGCGTTCACGATAGCGGGCCGTGCCCGTAATGCTTCTGGCCCGAATATCGCCCGTAATATTAAATGACAATTCCTGCTTGTCATTTTAAGTTAAGGGGTAAATAAAAAAAGTTTTTGAGCAATTTGCATTTGAAGAAATGCAAATGTTATATCTTCTGAAAATATTGATGTTTCTGCATTTTTTGTTATTCAACCAACATTTGCAAATATAAAATATAATTGAAAAATCATGGCCAATAAAACACAACAATCAAAATTATTTGATATATATATATATATATATATATATATCTGAGTGGTTAGATATCAATTTATAAATATGAATAAACAGCGCTCTTGTTTGCACCAATTTATTAAATAAAATTAATTTTACAAACGTTGCGAGATTAGGTTTGTCTCATCATGTGTATTATAATTATAATCTAAAATATGAATGTAGCATAGTGTGTTAACTGTTCCAACTTGTTCTGCTTGTAAGCAAAAGAAACAATTGTAAAATTAATATTATTTAATAAACTAGTGCAAAAAAAGTGCTGTTTGTTCATATTTCATATTTATATATATATTATATATATATATATATATTGTTGTACACCCCTGATATTATAAGTTGCTAACCACTGTCATAATATTAGATTCCTAACAAGTCCAGACTGAAATCTTAGAACCCCTGAGCTTTAGCTGATATTAACGGTTCATATTAACTTTTCTCAGACTACTGCGTAGTAACTGACATTACACATTCTCTCACGAAATCATAAATCTACATCGACAATTCTCAGCAAGATCCTATTATCGACATTCCGCCTAGTTAACAATTCTCACCAAGTTCGCATGAATAACATTTTGTTTAATCAGCTAAATTCATTACTTTGTCCTTTTCGTTGTATAGAACATTCGAGACAATCCCCACTACGTTTCAAAGGATTTTAGTTTTAATAATTATGAAATAAATCAGTCTTAATCTGTCGGTCGCCGGGCAAACACTTCTCTTCCAATACCTCCGAGTTCCTTGTACTTAAAGTGAAATAAAGTGAAGTTTTTGAAATAGTCTTTTCATTTATCAATTTCAAGTATTTTCAGCAAGTGAGTTTTCAGGAAAGTCGGAAGGTCCAGAGCAACAACACCGATTTGCATATAGCGGCGCCAACACCCCTTTTCTGTTCATCAACGCGGTGTCCAACAATATATATATTATATATATATATATATATTATATATATATATGTATATATATATATATATATATATATATATATATATATATATATATATATATACACGCCAATCGGCTATATACATTTATAATTATATAGTAATATTAAAGCTAGAACTAAAAAAATATTTTGATGCCAAATAATTTAATCATAAGGGTCCGTTCAAGTATTACGTAAGCACTATAGGGGGGCGGGGGGTTTATTGATTTGCTTATTTTGCTTATTTTTGGTAAGAAATTTGCTTACTTTTGCTGACAAGGGGGCGGGTAAATGATTGTAATAAATCTGCTTACGTAATACTTGACGAATAACCCTAAAATACTTTCATACTTCATTTAAATTTATTTATTATATTAGTATCTTAGAGAGAATTGCAACTATTTGAATCATAGATGATGAATCAAGTAAGTATTGAATATAAACACATATAGTAGAGCACTGAAAACGAAACGTTTGATTGAATCTTTCGACTTTAGTTCCAAAATTTAAAAGTTAGAGCATTTTAAATCAGCAATATACATGAAATTACAACATACAGTTAACGTTCTTAACTAACTCATAAAATAAATACTAAATAGCAGTAGTTTGATATTTTCATGTAAAATTAACCATATAAACAAAAAATTAGAAATTCGATCTATTATTATAAAGATTTTCAAAGGCAAATAATGAAATTATAATAAACTTAATAAATATTATAATAAGCCCCAAAAAGCATAAGTATAAAGAATACAGTTTTTAACTTGGAAATTCTATTGGATAAATTATAATTTTTCTAAAGTGGAATATTTAAAATAATATTAAATCTCAGACAATTAGATGATTTTTTTTTGCTCAGTAATTAAATTAGGTTTACATACTAAGAAAATGGGTTTTATTTTTTAAATAAAAAAAGTTTATATTTCCCCTGTAAAATAACATATATCCAATCTAAATTAGTATAATTTCTTCGTGTATTTATATTTGAAGTTTGTTATAAAAATTAAATACTTACTTGAGTGTAACTCCCTTGGTAAATGGATTATAACTATCAACAAGATCAAGATCTGCATCTCCATCCAGTGAAAGCATTCTATAAAACTCTCGACATTTCATTGCAATAATGCCAAAACCTGTCATAAATTCATCCATTCTTCTCTCTTCCAGAGTATTTAAAAGTTCTTTTATTCTTTCCAGCTCACTAGTTACAAGAGATACAGCTTTTTGCGCATCCTCATCTCTTGCAATGCTCTCATTGAAAATCTAGAACAGATAATCTTTGTACTAAATATCTTATTAAGTATATGTTAATTTAAATCAAACGATAACTAAATCTTCTATTATCTCTATGTGTCTAAATATTTGGCTTGATTAAATCTTGTGCTTTACTAATTATTCAAGTTAATCAATTAACAATTGATCAATTATCAATTGTTAAATACATATTATTGCCATTATTATTTATTTTTGATGTTTCATCTTTATTTTCTGATGATGGTTTTCAATGTTACATACAAAATTACAAAAACATTTATACAAATATTTAAGTGCTTTTCTCTTGGTATATATATATATATATATATATATATATATATATATATAACATGCTATATACATATTATAATTAATATTATACATACATTAATTGCAGTAATATTTGGCTCAAGTTTGTTTTCTTTTATTTAGTTTCAGCATCATGAATTTGTTTTTCCACCTCATTAACATGAATATCAGCTAGCTCTTCGGCAGTTAATGTTTTAAAACATTCATCAACTAAATTAGTCAATGATGACTCATTTAATTTCAATTGATTTTTCTAAAATATAAGAAAAAATAATCAAAAAAATAAAAATATAAATTGTATATATATATACCCA